TGGTCTTGATTTTTTTTCATTTGTTTCTTTTCCTGTACCGGGAATCGAACTCATGATCTTGTGCTTGCCAGGCAGGCGCTGTGCTGCTGAGCTAAATCCCCGGCCCCTTGGTCCTGATTATATCTGAAGATCTAATGGTAATTTTCCAGAGTCTCTGATATTTATCAGAAATTATTAACAATATATTTTATTTAGGTTTTTAAAATTTTAAGTCATCAGTGAAGTAACTTCATTCCAATTCTTACTCTTTGTAAGACTTATCAAAATATAGATTATCACCCCTAGAAAGTTCATTTAACATCTCCCAAGAATTCCTACCCTATGTAGGTACCCACTATTCTGAAACAATAAACCTTGCCAGTTTTTGAACTTCATATGAATGGAATAACAATATGCAATTTTGATATTCATCATTAGTCACCTACTTTTCACTGTTGCATAATACTTCACTCTATAACTATATGGTAATTTATTTATCCACTGATATTTTCTGACGAATATTTAGAGTGCTTTCTGCATTGGGCTATTATAAATAACTGTTATTACTTCTCCTATATGACATTTGGAGAACATATGTGCCTGCTTTTATATGGGTTATACACCTAGGCATGGAAATGTTGGAGTTGAGGAATATTAAGTGTAATTTTAGTGGATGCTAATTTTAGTAGAGTCAGCAGTTTTCCAGAATGGTGATTTATATTTTCACCAGGGATGTATGATGATTCGAGTTTTTCCACAGCAGTAGTTCTAGTTCAGGCCTTTGTTCGTGAAATGTGGTTGTTCGCATTATCATTCTCATTTGCAGTTCTTTGCTGAAGAACCACAGTGAGCATCCTTCTATGCACATTTTACCCATTCATGAATTTTCGTGCATGAGGTTTTATGAAGTGTCTGTTTGCACTGGCCATGTTATCTTTTTTTTATTTTTATGGGTTCTTTATCCAAACAGGACACAGTTCTTGGATATATCTGTAGTACTACAAATATTTTCTCTCAGTTTGTGACTTATTTTTTTCTTAATAGTATCATTGGAAAAACAGAAGTTTTGCATTTTGCTGTTGTCCACGGGCTATTCCTTTCTCTTTTATAGGTCATATTTTCTTTGTCTCTTCTAAGAAGTATTTACCTTCCCCAAGATAAGAGATATTCTTGTGTATTTTCTTCTTAGAGCTTCATTGTTTTAGGATCTATGTGAGGCCTGTGGTCCATCTGTCTGTCTTGCATTGTGTGTGTGTGTGTGCATGTGTGTGTGTGTGTGTTTGTGTGTGTATGTGTGTAAGGTGTTGGTAGAGAATAAGTTTCCATTTCATTCTGTACATTTAATAATTGTTGTTCCACTTCCATTTATGGACTTTTCCAACTTAGTTGTTTTGGTGCCTTTGGAGAAAACCACATGAGCATGTGTGAGTGATGCTATTTCTGGAACTGTCATTTTATTTTACTGATCTATTTACCTATTTCTAACCCAGTATCATGCTGCCTTGGTTACTGCATGTTTATACTAACTCATGTAGTAAAAAAAATATGAGCTCTTCAACTTTCTTAGTCTTCTTTAAAACTGTTTTGGCTAATTTATATTCTTATATTTCTGTCTGGATTACAGCTATGAAGAAGCCTATGACAATTTTTTAAGAGTAGGAAAATTTATTGGAGTAAAGGAATAAGAAATAAGAATAGCTCCTGAGAGACAGGAGACCTGAATGGGTTATCCCATGACAGTTCTTGATGTGTGAAGTATATTAACCAATTTTGGAAGAATTGACATCTTAACAACATTGAGTATTTCAATCCATTATCATGGGCTAGCTCCCATTTACGTGGATCATTAATTTTCTTTCATCAGTATTTTGTTTTTATGTCTAGCAATTTTGCATGCTATTAATTAAATATATTCTTGCAGATTTCACTAATCCATGTTATCAAAAATAATGTTTTTAGATATCATTTTAAACTGTTTGCTGCCAGCATACAGAAATACAGTTGATCCTACAACTCTGTCAAAGTGATTTGCTAGTTCTAGTGTCTTTTTATAAATCCCTCAAAATATAAGTATAGATGCTCAGCCTTCTGCAAACAAGAACACCCTTATTCAGTTTTGTCAAACCATTCATGATTTTCTTTTAGCCCCTTATTCCAGTAGATCAAACCTCAAATGCAATGTTGGATAGAAGTGGTTACCTTAGGTATACTGACCTTGGTATAAAAATGTTCGTATTTCACCATGAAGTACATTACCTATACACCCTTTTCCAAGCTGTACAGTTCCCCATTTCTATTTTGCTGAGAGTTTTTATAACTAGGTGTGTTAAATTTTGTCCAATGCATTCTCTGTATCTGAGATGTACTGAGATGTCATCTCTGTACTGAGATGACATGATTTTCCTTTTAATAAAGTAAGTCACTTTAATTGAATTTTGAATATATTCAGGTCTTTATATGTGTTCTTTTATGATATTGCTAGATTTGATTTGCTAACATTTTAAGGTTTTTTCCATCTACTTTCATGATAGATATAGTGTGTTATTTTCTTTACTTGAAAAGACCGTCAGATTTCGTCAGGGGTTTTACTACAAAATTTCCCTTTTGCTCTATGTAAAAAAAGTTGTAAAAGACTGACATTATTTATCCCTCAAATCTTTGAGAGAATTACCACCTCTTAAACGTGTAATGGGAACTGAAATTAGAAATGAGAGGTGAAGCCACCTAAGCCTGGAGATTTCTTCATGGGAAGAGTTTTATTAAAAATTCAATTTTTAAAAACAGATATATGAATATTCAGATAACTTTTTTCTGATGTCTACTTAGGTAATTTATCTTTCAGAGAATTTGACAATGTTATCTATATTATCCATGTTATTGGCATACATTGTGCCTAATATTTTTCATCCTTTGGCATATATAAGATTTATAATGATATTCTTCTTCCATTTATAATTTTCCTCTCTTTGATACTATGAATATTTCATTACTTTTTCAGAGAATCAAGTGTTACCTTTATCAAGTTTAGCTATGTTTATTTTTGCTCTATTTCACTGATTTTTGCCCCTATATTTATGACTTCTATGAACTCATTGTGGTTCAGTATCCTTACCTTTACCTAGCTTCTTAACATAGAAGAATGGATACCGATTTTATGTCTTTGTTCTTTTCTAAGAATGAAAATATTTGAAGCTATAAAATTACCTCTAAGCACTGCTTTAGTTGCATGTAACAAACTTTCCTGTGATTATTCAATATAAAAAACACTCTCTTCTTAGCCTGACAAAAATCATTTTCTCTCTCTTCATTATATTTTTTCATCACTAACATGAAAGATTATGCTTAGAGATTTCTAAGATCTCTTTACATGTATCATTTTCTGGTTATTGATTGGTTGGATATCTAAAACTATAATTATTAATTGACTATGGCAGGTAGTTGCCTATCAAATTTGACAGATTTTAACATTTAGTATACTCTAAGTGCATAAAAGTATCAAAATATTTTTCAAAACTAGTTTTATTATGAAGATATTGAATTTGGTATTGCTACTCTGTAACTTTCTCTAAGAATGTACAGTGCTTTTGCAAGCGAATCGTATCCATCAATGACAGATGGAAACCATGATCATCAAAATACAGAAATATATTTGGTGTTTATGTCTCCAGAATAACTATCATCTCAGTAGATAAACATTCTAAAGAACTTATTGAGAAAAAGAAATAATCTAAAAATACACAAAAAGAGCCTCTCTAAAGAGGCCTATGACATAATAAAGAATTTTGTAGGTTCTTTTTGCATCTTCTTTCTGCCACAGAGCTTCAAAAAGTGTGTGGAATTTCCCCAGGGACAGAACTCTTTGATGGACCCCCACATTAGCTTCAGGATGGGGGCTTCTCAATGAGAAGACCGACTCCATGATTGGAGAGTTGGAACTTGAGGCCAGTCTGACCCTCTAGGGGAAGACGAAGACTGCTATTGGAGTTGAGTCACAAGGAACATAGTTTAGTCAAACATGTCCATATAATGAAGCCCTGATAAATACTTCAGACACTGAAGCTGTGTGCAGCTCCCTAAACACACTGATAAACTTGGAGCAGGAAACCCCCTAACTGCACCTGAGGAGGTCATGGGGCTTCCACATTCCAGGTCTTTCCCTATGTACCACTTCTACTACTACAGGGTTCAAAATCAATATCCATTTATTATTATATTTATCATAAGACTGGAAGGATAGCACTTTTTCTAGATTCTGTGGTTTGTGTAGAAATTATCAAATGTAAGATCAGTTGTAAGAACCCCTGAATTTGTAGTTGGTTGGTGTCCCACAGCCCTATCTGTGGCTCCCATGCAAGCAGAGGTGATCTTGTGGGAGACAGAGTCTTTCTCCTTTGGGGTGACGCTGGCTTGGAGTGGTCAGCATCTCATTTCTCATATGCTCCCCCAACCGGTGTGCAGGGATGGTGGACAGAACAGGGACACCGCCCAGGAAACCTTGAAATTAACTGTAGCAGACAACACTGGCCACTCTGCAGCTCCTGGTTTGTTTTGTTTGTTGCTGTGGTGGTGGTGATTGTTATTTTAGCTAAGCCCATTGCCACCCAGCTAAAAACAATTCCTTATGCAACTCTGTGCAAATGGACTAAATCCTGAGCAGTAAGATGGACACAGAAGGATCCAGTGCCCTCCCCTTGCCCTTTACATCTTGAAAGCCACTTACTGTCTCTGCTCTGACCTCTTAATAGCAGACAAATGATTCTAATCCATTTGTTTTCTCTCTTTCTTTCTTTCCTGGCATCTGAGATCCAAGATGGAGCTCTCTTTAAAAGATATAGTACACTACATAAGTTTACTTAATACATTTATCTAAAAGATTAATAAATTCTTCCCAAACTGCCACAAATGCGCTGTGGCCAGTGGAGAGCAATAAGTCACAAGCTTCGGGTCATGTAAAGAAATGGTGGACATCGTTACATTCAGTCACTGTGGGCAAAAGCATTTGCACAGAGGGAAAGAGGCACCTGTAGGAAAAACTCCTCCATGAGGGCCATGGTCCACCTGTAGTGCAGCCTCCAGGACTTGGCTGGGTGGCTGATGTCTGCTGCATGGAGAATCAGGGACATGGTCTTGGCTCTGTCGATCCTGTCAAAGCAAGAAAACGCCTAGATTACCCGGACAGACTCACTACTTTGTCTTCGCTGAGTCCAAGCCCACAGAACTTAACAGTGACAAAAGAGAATAACCTACCCTTCAGGCTGCTGCAAACTGTTCCTTATATTTTTAATCTGCTGGAAGTGACCAGACATGTCTGTGGATAACACCATTTCAATCACTAAGTTCCGAAGGTCCCTGCAGAGGCATCAAAGGAGAAAGGTCACATTTGGCCCCTTATGGGTCTGGATTGGAACATTTCTTTAAATATCTCTAATCACATTGTATTTTTCCTAATGGATATGAGCACAGAAGGTGCTAGTTTGTAAATGTAAAAGCACTCACAAAAATTTAGCACTATTTTGCCTCGGACTCTGATGGATTTGAGAAGTTTCTAGCAGAGTAATCTGTGAACGATACTGTTTCGCATTCCCCTAAGGAACAAGCATTTTCTTTTCTTACCCGGCAACCCTGCTTCCCAACTCATCGTTCCTAAGTTTTATTTTTTTATCTGAAAGTATCCTTGATGATTTTTAAGAGACACTATTCTAAATGCATTTTAAAAGTTATTTATTTAGTGTATGTTCTGTTAATTTGGGGAAATTGCTAAATGCTTTGGAAGAGAAATATATGGCTCAGTGGGGTTTCAGAGCACTTTAGATATGGTCAACAAGACTAATAGCCTCTGGTCTCCAGAAGAGAGGGGCACAGATTCTCAAAAATCTTCCTTGCTCCTTTGCATCTTTTAAATAAAATTACTATTGATAACACCAATACCATTGACCAGGATTCATTCAGTCCAGGCACTAGCATAAAACTATGCTCTAGTGGCTCTGTCTGTACATTAAAAAGCCTAATCCTCATAACAACCTTATTTCCCACCACAGAAAACAGAGTTGTTAGCTTGTCACAGACCTAGTACACAGCCAAGGTAAATTTCAATCCAACTGTTTCCACTCCCAAAGCTGGCACCTGGATGACTCTATGGTGTCAACCTCCCATTGTAACAACCTGCAGGAGCCCAGGTGCTCAAGTGAGAAAGGATTCTTTGTTTGTGCTTTTGAGACCTGACCTTATCTAACACCAAAGCATGGGTACCATTGAAAGTTTCAATCAAGACACTGAATACAGTGACTATGCCACAAAGCCTATGCATGAATAACTCATTCTCACATTAAGAAAAAAGAAACCATCCCAGCCAAAGCTTACATTAATTACAGTTAATTCGTAGTTACTTCAATAGCAATAGGTAAAACATTACTCACACAGGAAACCATACTTTATTTTCTCTCTGCAGTGTGGCTAAAGAGAATAAACTAAGTCAAGTCATGAAGTAAACTTGAATCATGATCTCATGTCAAAGATAGCTTACCAAAAGATAGTATGGTCAGAGGATTTAAAAAAAAAAATTAAATTTATTGTTGAAAATTGTGGATATTCAGATTCAACCTGACTTTCAAAGCCATGAGAAGTCAAATTCTGCTATAATTATAATATTGGATAGTTTGCTTAGAACACTTGACTCAAATATTAAGGCAAAGAAAGCTATTAAAGGTAGTTAAATTATTTTCAATTACATTTTGTCTCTGAAATTATGATAAGATCCATACTAAGATAGCAACTGAACAAAACGTTCTTAACTAAGGAAAGTGAGATAATTTTGTAAAATCTATAGAACCTAACATACTGTACTTTGTGCATGAGCAATTGACAAATGCCAGGTACTATATCAGTAAAGTAGGCAAGATAGTACACAAGGGAAATATTACATATGATTTTTCTTGCTAATTTTTTTATACTAATGCACTTAAACTAGTTTAAGAAATAGACATGCAGGCAGAAAAATCTACACATTTTTCAGATACCCATGTTTTCACTGTCAGTAAAATGTTATCGAGACTTTAGAAGCAAATAGATATTTTGTTAAGTTTTAGGGAAATGTTGACTCTATTAAATTCTAAAATCCATTAATTCTATAACCCATGTGATATGCATTCTATTTGTAAATCAGTTCTGTAAAAACATTCAAGTAGGATGACTCAGAAATTACAGAAAAGAGGGGCTGGGGATTTAGCTCAGCGGCAAAGCGCCTGCCTGGCAAGCGCAAGGTCGTGAGTTCAGTCCCCGGTACCGGAGAAAAAAAAAAAAAAAAAAAAAAGAAATTACAGAAAAGAAATTTATAGCAATACATTATAACACTAACATATTACAGATGGTGAAAAACAAAACATAGGAAGTAATATCACACTGAAATAGTAAGAAATTTATCTATGAGAAAGAAAAGGGATAATTCAAAGGAATAATAACAAAATTAATATTAAACGTATTTCAATTCCAGATACAAAAAAAATTTTTTAAACGTATTACCCTTGACAGTGGGAATCCCTGATGAAAAATAAACTAATAATCTACATGTAAATAATCACTCTTGGATCTTGGGAAACAGCCAGACTTTGTCAGCTTCTACCTGAGCCCCTCTGGTCTCCACGTAGCCCAGCAGTGGCACTATAAATCCTTTTACAATTAAATCCCGGCTTTCCCAGCCTAGAAATTCTCTTCAGGGTAAATGAAAGGCCTTAACTGTATCCCAAAACAAGTGTCTCTTCCCCATCTCACAGCACTTTCTACAGTTGCAAAAGTGAGCCCGTATTTCTGAAACTGCCCCTTAAAAAGCAGTAAGAAGTGGAAATTTGAAAATGTACCAAGGGAGATTAAGATTTGTTTGAACTGATTTTACTTCTTTTGCCTTTTTTTTTTTTTAAAGATATGTCTTGATTCCATTCACCTTTCTGACATTTCTATTTAACTTGCTGAGGAATGAAAATTAAAACCAAACTTCTGATACTGATATTTGAGTAGGAATCTTTTGCAAGTCACTTGCTACGACAAAACTTTGTTAAAGATACATACAAGGTTGTTGTTGTTGTGGTGGTGGTGGTTGTTTTTTAAAGTAAAGCATACACTATGGGACATCCTTACACTGAAAAGATTCTATGCCTATCTGATATAACTGGGCCTCCCTTTCTTTTGTTTGCTAAAGGAAGGAAATGATGACAAACACAGACTAAAAAGGAAAAGGGTTGTGTGGAGTAGGACTAGGTCTGTAGCCTGTTATTTTTCCCTACATAGCAATTAGCATCACTAGACCATGTAATTTTTTAAAACAGATCCTTAGAGAAACATGCAAGATTTCCCCCCACACTTGGGCCACAGTAGTATAGTCGTGAATTTTTGTCCCAAATACTTGAAGTTTTCTTTTTTCTAAAAAAAAAAAAAAAAAAAAAAGCTACACCACATATATTGAAGAATAATACAGGAGGGAATAAGCATGTTGCTAAAATTTTGAATTTATGTAAGACCACATATTGGCATAAACTGGTACATATCAGTACACTGCAGACAGAGTATAATTTTGTATTATGCTTAGTGCGTGCTCTGTGGTTTTACATTTGTGTATGGATGCTGAATTGATCTGAAAACATTTCAGACCCAATGAGTACAGCCTGGCTCTTGAAAGGCTTCAAGACACTAATCCTTCATGAGTAACTCAGTCAACAATAATCGAGCTTGTAATATGGCATTTCATCTGTTTCCTTTGATTTAAATCACTTATTTTATCCTTTTTCTAAAACTGAATTTCCCTTAGGTTTCCTCTGAAACTCACCTCCAGTCATCTTTGGATAAATTTGTCAAGATATTCATCTCTTCTTCTTGCATAAGGCGGTAAGCAGCGCTCACGTGGTGATTCTCAAGGACGGAGCGATCATTGTACAAAATGGCAACATCTGATCTAAGAAGTAAAAACAGAATCCCCAACACAGCATTTGGTTAGACTTTGTGAGAGTAAAAGACACTCAAATGTCAAGTCAGCTGACCAGTGAAAATCCTATAACTGAACATGTAAAATTATGGAAGTAGTTTCTTTCACAGTATTTTAAAATTTTATATAGACTTGATGTTTTAGAGCAATTTTAGGTTCAGAGCAACGTTGCAGAAGATACAGAAATTTTCATGTGCCCCCACACATGAATAACCAGCCCCATATTCAACATCTCCCACAGAAAGCTGTTTTTGTTACAACTGATGAACCTACACTGATGCATCATTACCTCTGAGTGACCAGGGGTCCCTCTTGGGGTTGGACACTCTTTGGGTTTGAATAAAATGTATAGTGACATGTGGGTACCATTGTAGTATCATACCCAGTAGTCTTACTGCCCTAAAACACCTCTGTGTTTAGCTCATTCATCCTTTTTGCCTTCAGAATCTGGTAACAACTGATATTTTTGTTGCCTCTACAGTTTTGGCTTTTCCAAAATATCATATGGTTTGAATCAGATAGTCTGTTGTGATTTCAGATTGGCTCTTTTCACTTAGTAACATGCATTTAAGTTTCCTCCATGTCTTTTTAGGGCGTGGCAGCTTTTCTCTTATTAACACGGATTAATGTTCTCTTGCCAGGTTATACCACAATTTATCCAATCACCTATGCAGGGAAATCTTGGTTGCTTTTAAATTTTGACAATTATGAATAAAGCTGCTGTAATCATCTGTATGCAGGGTTTTGTGTGGATGTAAGTTTTCAACTTCTTTAGGTAAATGCCCAGAATGGACTTCCGGGACCAGCTGGTAAGAGTAGGTTCAATTGTAGAAGAAACTGTAAAGATGTCTTTCAAAGTGATAGTTTTGCATTTGAACAGCAGTAAATGAAGATTCCTGGTATTCCACATCCTTGTAAGCACTTGGTCTTGCAGTGTTCTGGACTTTTGCCATTCCCAGAGTGATGCGGTGGCATATCACGGTTTCAATCTGCTTCTCCCTGCAGGCCTGTGGTGTAGAGTATTTCTCACATGCCTCTATGCTATCTCTAGATCTTTTTCACAGAGATGCTTGACAAAATCTTTGGCTCTAACTTTAACCAAGTTCTTATGTTGAGTTCTAAACCTTCTTTCTACATTTGGATATGATCCTTTATTAGATATATCTTTGGCAAATATTTTGTACCAGTCTGGATTATATTTTCATCCTCTTAACATTAATAAAAAATTGTGCTACCAAGACTTGAGGAAAAAATGGTGAAGGAACCAAACATGGAAATGTAAATAAAAAGAACCAGTCTAGATATGACAAAAGAAATAATCCTGATTCAATCAGTGAATGAATAAGCCTCTTCATACTTAGTGTAATAGCTGATGACCAGTATCATTACTTTGGAATAAAATTACTTTGAGTAAGGAGTGGAAGGGATAATGAAAATCTTTGCTCTCTTTGTGTTTCTAATTTTTACTTCCTTTATCATTTGTGATTAAATATGAAAATAATACATCTTTTTGCTCTAAATAAAAATTAAGAAAATCATTTTTAACCAAAGCTTAAAATATGTTTCACCATGAATTTATACTGGACATTTTATTTTTTAAATGATGAATTCACTCACTCAGCAATGGTGAATTCATTTCCAGTTGTGCATAATGGAGCCTGTGCACCTCCATCCACTGTCTGCCTGGGCTTCAGAACACTTCACAGGTGTGGAATGGAAACAGAACCACTGTGCTCAAGGTCTTAAAATGATAACCCAGTTGACAAAGTAGAAGCAGGCAGCAGAAATTCACAGCAAAGGGAAAGTCAAGTTAAAACCTTTAACAACTGTTACCACATCTCCCAGGACCAAGCCTGTCCACGCTCCTTCCTCCTGGTAAGTCCGTTTGCTGTCAGGAATAAAATTGCTTCACTCAAGACTCATTGTCCCACTCCGAGCAGCTTAGTGGATTAGGGAGACCTTGTCTCAAAACAAAAAAGGTCTGGAAATATAGCTCAGTGCAAAGGCAATGAGTTCAACCCACAGTGAGGGGGCAGGGGCTGTTTCAAGTTTATAATGCGTAGAGTCCTGGTTATAACTTAGTTCTCTCCCTGCCACTGATTTTGTACTGAAGAGTAGGCAAGGACAAAATAAAGAAGGGACAAAAATTGCCACAAGAACAAAACGGGTAGCTATGCATATGTTAATATGTTTTACTTCTGCAAATGTTTCACTATCTTTATGTATCCCATAATATCATGTCATATACCATACACACACACACACACACACACACAAATACATTTATTTTTATAGAAAAACTAAAGAAATATGATGCCTCCTAAAAGCATTCTCTTCAAGATCTGTAACTGATAGTCTACTAGGTAAACCAAGCTTTATTATTAATCCAACATAAGAAATGATCAATTAGGCACTAGAATAACTTCTATCTTTTGTTTCCAACAGTATGATAAAGGTGAAAAAACATATATACTTAGCTAATCATGTATCTCCACGATGTAGTTTTTTTTTTTTTTCAGTATACTCAGTGAAGGCCTAAAACCCTTAACCACTAATCATAATTCAATATGGAAGAAAATGACTTAGAGAAGCTTACACATGTAATCCTTATTTAAAGGATAATTAAATAGATCTCTTGCCTGAGTGAAAGGCCAGGCCAGGCGTATTTTCCTAAACCTGCTGAGATTATAGGGAAAACTAATTTTCCAGTAATTTCATTTGTATCATATGGACAAATCTAGCTATCGCACATTTGTCAGGGCAATTACATGGCATGCCAGCAATTCCAGGTACATATTGCTACCTTTGTTTTCAGAAATAAGCAAAGATGTGCTAATCCAGATCCAACTGTAGCAAAATGTGTGGTTTTGTTTCACAAGTTCAGCAAGGATGCTGAGAGTGCAGTACTGTTCTAATGGTTGTGATGGTCTTTAACAGCTAAGAAAAGAACAAGACTCTAAGCAACATCCAGTATCCATGGTAACATGTAGCTCGGCATTTTCTGTTCACAAAGAAGAAATTATTTCCATTTATTTACACTTTCAAGGATTGCATGCATTAAAATGTCCGTATTGCACTTAATTCAAGCCTTGTTCTATGTTCTAAATTACTTTTCAGTCATTTTGCATTGTACAGCAAATGAGTTTTCATACTAGAAAAGCACTCTAAATCCAAGTAACAATGACTAATACAAAAGACAATAGAATTATCCATGTCAGTTACATGTGACCTTATTTCTCTTTCTACAAAATGTGAAGGTACTAGGGTTTCAAAAGCATATGATATTGTTGCATTTTGGTGATTACAATGCTTGTATTCATTTTCAAGTTTGTGTACAATTAATCCATTAAGTAATTGTCTCTGTTAGATAATTTCTGAGAAAATTATAAAAATACAAAACTTTGCTTTTATTTTTGTGCAGTTTCTTAATGTCAAATCAGGAGAGATTAATTCTTCTTCCTCCCCTCCTCTTCCCCCTTTCCCTCTTCCTCCTTTCTCATTGGCTTTATCCTCTTCTTCCATCTCCTTCTGCACAAATTAAAGCACAAGTGACTTAGGATTCCTTACCCAATTGCAGATGATTAGTAAAAAGAGAAAGCTGGAAGTGATGTCCTAACACTGCCTCTTAAAGGAAAGTCCACTGTTAACAAATCACTTGCTTTCTTCTCCAAATAGCAAAACTGTTGTCCTGTAAGAGCCTGGATAAATAATGACTTGTTTTTAACTAAAACCCTCATGGATTTGATGCATGTAAAGAAGATTTGCTTTTAAAACATGATAAGCATTGCCTTCTTTTCCTTTGATGGCTATCACAAATAAAAGCAAAAGAACTCCTTATACTCTGTACATATATGTAGATGAAGAACATCCCTTCTATTCAACCACGTCGCACCAGATTCAACCATAGCAAAATGGTCTTCTTTTCCAAAGCTTTCTTTTCATTTTATGTCTCTCTGGGAAACTTGGAATTCTGTCCCTCCAAGAGGATGTGTTACCCAACATTTTACTGTTTGAACTTCAACTCTTTCTCTGTCTCCATCAAAGGCCTATGGTGTGTAAGCCCATCCCATTTTAGGCTCTAGAAGACTGGACCAAGTGTGTGTCTGTCTCTGGTGATAGGAGCAGAGTTGTCAGTAATGGGATTGAGTGTGTGTCCCTCTTTCTCAGCTTCTCTGGCCTGGCACTGCCATCACCTGACTGAGGGCACTTTACCTCTAGAGATCTTTGATTTTCAAAAGTCTTACACTCTTAGATTTGGTACAGATAAGCTATAATATGGATTTCAGTCATTTGGGGTAACGTCATATTCTAAAATACATAATATTTTAACAAATGTTTTCCTTACTTCACACATCAAAACAATAACTCTTTATACCTGGAAAATCAATTATTAGAAATATATTTATTTCAAAACCAAAGAATAAACCACATAAAAACTTTCATAGGTGTATTTATTTCAGCTTTTTTCACAACCTCAAAATTTTGAAACAACCAAGGTTTCCTCCAATATATGAATAGATAAACGGAGGTACATCCGTACGGTGTACCTCCTTAATAAAAATGTTACTCATTAGAAAAAAAAAGAGCTACCAAGACTTGAGGAAAAATGGCAAAGGAACCAAACAGGGAACTGTAAATAAAAGAAGCAGTCTGAAAAGAGTATATACTATGTAATTTCAACTAATGACATTTTGAAAAGGAAAAACAAGAAGACCTTAAACTGGTCACTGCTGCCAGAATTGAGGAATAAATTGGTGAATCACAGGGACTTATAAGGCAGGGAAACTATGGATTGTCAGGATATTGCAGTAATAAATAGCACTGCACATTTGTCAAAGCCCATAGAATCTATAAACAAAAATTAAACTCTGATGGGTTCTAGACTGAAATCTACCTCAGATACTGATGTCTAGCTGCCTAACTAGAACAAGATTAGAGGGCCTTTCTGCTACAAGCTGAACTATGTCTCCCCAAAATTCATATATTGAAGTTCTAATCATTGATGTGACTATATTTGAAGATCGAGACTTCGCTGTTTTGAATAAAAAATGTCTTTTCAACATCTCCTTTATTCAGAGGTGGGCCTTTTGAAAGGTGATTGGGTCATAGAGGATCCATGCCTATTAGTGGGTTGATTCTGTGTGGCTGAGTTCATGCCTGAATATCCTATTAGGAAGTCAGCTTTGTGGGAGGTAAGTCACTCAGGCATGACCTGGAAGGGCATATTCTTGCCTAAGGCTCCTCTTTTTTCTCTATTTCCTGGCTGCTACAGACTGAGCAGTTTTCTTCTTCCTGGCTCTTCCACTATGCTATTGCAACCTTAAAGGGAATCCTCTGAAAACTGGGGACCTCTTCTCTAAATTCCAGGTGTCAATTTTTTGCCCTTGAGATGGGAAAGAGACAAAATATTGATGGCTGGAGTAGGGTTATTGCTGTGACTGTACCCAACCATGTGGTTTGTTAGAGGATTTTTGGAAAGATGCCAGTTAGAGAACCTCTAGAATGCTGTAACCTGAGCTTACCAGGTGCTTCTGGTTGGAGTTCCCAGGAATGTGGACAGTAAAGGTGAAGCTTATGGGGTTTCAGTTGGGAATGAGGAATCTGTCAGAAACTGGACTCGTGGTTATGCGTGCTTCACTCTGGCAAAAACATTTTGTCTTCATTTTGTCCATGTTCTAAGACTTTGCATGAAGCTGAATTCAATAGTGGCAGACTACTTGATTTAGCAGAGGACTAAAGGCTCAAGTTTCCCTGCCTTACAAGAGCCTTGAGCCTTGAGCCTTTAGTCCTCTGCTAAATCAAGTAGTCTAGAAGAGCCTCAGGAGAGCCCTCACCCAGAACTTTCTAGGGATGTGTTCCACAGAATGCTGCCATCCATGCCTTCAGAGGGCACTGAAGCCATAGTCCAAGAAGGCCCGATGATTGCCTGAGCTGGTGGTGGACCTTGATGTCATCCACATGGTGCTAGTTTTTCAGATGTACAGAACACCACAGTTGGAAGTTTCCACCCAGATTTTAAAGAAAAAGCTGGAAAGCCAGCAATGTCCCCCAAGAGGGCAGTGTACAAGCTGTGGCAGTGAAGTTGAAGTACAGTGGAGACCCCAGGAGGTCAGAGATGCCAAGAATGTGAAACATCCGGTGAGAAAAGATGAAGAAAGTAGGCAGAGTCACCCAAGAGAGAGGACGTGGGTGCAACCAGCAAGGCCAATGGGGAAGTGTTGCCCAAGCCCTTTGGAGCTTGCAGCTCACCATAATTTGCTTGAATCCAGTTTCTTTCTACCCTCCCTTCCTGCTTGTTAGAATGAGAATATTTACCTTGTGCCATAGCATGTTGGAAATATTTAACTTTCTTTGTGATTTTCACAGGGGCTCATAGCTTAGAGTCTGTCTTGAGTCTCAGAGGAGATTTAAGACTTGAACTTTTCAGCAATGCTGAAGCTGTTATGACACTGACAACATTTAGAGATGGACTAAATAGATTTTGCATAATAAGATAGACATGAATCATTTAGGGGGCTAGGAGGAGAACATTATGGTTTAGAAGTAAAATATCCCCTCAGAGGTGGGATCTTTTGGAAAGTGATTGGATCATGGGGATTAATCCACAGATGAATGTGCAGTTAGGAAGTGGGGCCTGGTGGTAGGTGGGTCACTCACAGGTTAACCTGGAAGTATGTGTTATTATCCCTGAGTTCTCCCTTCTCTCTGTTTTCTGGTTTCCATGGACTGAGTAGCTTTCCTCCACCGGGCCCTTTTACTATTCCATTTCCACCTTGCATCCAGGCAACCACGGACTGAATCTATGCACCAAAATAAACCTCTTTTCTTGAAGTTGCAGAGCCTGGTATTTTGTCCTAGGGATGGAAATGTGACTAATACAATCTTCAAAGATACACTTAAAGTTAATTGATGTAATATAAGGGTAGGACCCAAATCCAATATGACTGATACCCTCATACAAAGAGAGGACCTCAGGGGGGTGGTGTGCATAGGGAAAAGAGCAGGTGAAGTCAAAAAGGTACCTATCTACAAGTTAGAGACAGAAGCTTCAGGAGAGACTATATCTGACAAGTTGGTCTTAGACTCCCAGCCTCCAGAACTGTGAGAAAATAAATACGGGTTGTTTAAACTACCCAGTCTGTGGTAGTTTGTGCTGGCATCCCTAGCACTTAATAAATATATGCTGCATTACTTTTTTGATTCAAATAACTGCCATTATAACTAATACAAAGGGATCTCATTTTTCAACTATTTAAATTTAGTTTTTCATACTGGTCTGGGGATTGTATTTTGTTATTTCAGTATTTTTCTTCAAAAGCATAATTTTATTACATTCACATATGTTATGGCATGAAGCCAAAGCCTTAAACAATATACTGTAAGACTTGACTTAGTGAATACCTGTCTGACTTGTGTAATAGTTCACTTTATATACACTAGGAAGACAGAATTTTTCCTACGTATTTTATATCCTTAAAAAGCTGTTACATATGCTATAAAATATATACAAGTTTCATGAAAAACAGTTGATTGATTTAAGTGGTTATGGCTTCAAAAGTTTTGCTAAAAATCATTAAAATTATCTTATTCAAATTTTTATTTTTAAAACAACTCTCTCAGAATAATTTGCAGGAGAAAAAATTTTGAAACTTAACATAACATAAATATTAGCACTGATAAAGCTTACCTTGTCTGAATATGAAAGTTGTTTGTGGTTCCTGTATGCTCATAGTCATGAATGGCAGCAGCAAAGACCATTGCTAAAATTTCCAGTTCAGTGAGCCAGTGCTAGGGAATTAAAGGAAGAGTCCATCACGTTTATAAAGCAGAGCCCATCTTTTTCTTTGTACAAAAATTCTCAGTGAATCTGGGGTGTGCTATTGTATACAATTATATTCCTTTTAAATTCCCTTCCCCCTTCACCTCCATTTATTGTGCCTCATGGGTATTGCATGAGGTCTGTGATTATTTGAAGACTTGAAAGTTCAACATTTTAAAGTCAAAATATAATTATTCTCCCTAATTGAAAAAGGAGTAATTTTCTTTGGTTTAAAAGATTAACTCTGATTCCACTTTGAATTCACAGCCTTATCACTTTGGACTCCTATGAAGTCAATTACAGTTCATTAATTTTTAACACATAGGGCTGGGGATATAGCTCAGTGGCACAAGCACCTGCTTGGCAAGTGCAAGGTCCTAAGTTAGATTCCCAGTATCAAAAAAAAGAAATTTTAACACATAGTTTGTTCAACATTAAAATATATTTTATATCATTGTAAAAGGCCCTACTGTGAGAAAATTTTACACCTAGAATTTGAAAACACTTGCTTTGCTTATGAAAAACTTTCATTTGTATATTTAAAGATTTAGAAGAGTTTCTGAGAATTTGTCAAATTTTTATTCATAGCATATATGGGAATGTGCGATTAAACTCGGTAACGATAAAGAAAAGAATAATTGTCTTCACATAAAAACTAGGCCCATCTACTTCACATATTCCCTGGTATTTCTGCTGCTGGCTGGAAGACTTACCAAAATTTCTCTACTATTACAAGCTTAGCAATAATTTAAGTTTAGATTATTCATCACCCACATTCTGCACAATCCTTTCAGTGCACTGTCCAAAGTGATAACCACATGTGACAATTTAACAGAAAATAAACGAAATGTAATAAAATCTAGTTCACTCTCTCAGTTTCACTAGCTACATTTCACATGCTCTCTATCCACTTGTGGCCTGGGTTTACGTAGATACAAACACAATTCACAGGTTTTTCTGTTGTCACAGAAAGTCCTGACGGGCATAGTGATGCATATCTGTAATCCCAGCACATGCAGGGCTGAGGCAGAAGCCTGGGCTACATAGTGATCTCAAGGGCAGCCTATACTATATACTGAGACACCATCTCAAAAAAAAAAAAAAAAAAAAAAGAAGGAAAGAAAATCCAATTGGAAAGCACTACAAGCAGTTGTTACTTGACAGTAGGAATGGGGGATCCAAAATGATATAGTGTTTACTTTTAGTGGTCTCATTCCATACATTTGAAACACCTAAAGATCTAACACAAGACAATAAGAAAATATCATGTCACCTGTACATGTATTTGATAAAAGGTCAGAGGCTAAAGATGCAACCTAAAAGCAGGGAGAAAGGGTATTTGATGGGAGCGGATTTTGAAAGAAGGATAAGCAAAGACTAGTCATTAAATGCAGGGTTGAGAACAGAGGAATTTTAAATAGAAAAGGCAAATACAGAACGATACTGAAGGTTGTATTGTATTGAAATAGAATTGCCAGCAGGGAAGTTTTATTGAAGTCCAGCGACATGAGGCTCTTGCCTTCATACCCAATTCTGATTCCTAAATCCTAATCAAGGTAGACCATCACCTCTTCCCATCATTTCCACAGCCTCATTGCCCCCTTCATAGAACCTATTGTGGTACTTAGCACATAACAGGAACTTAATATTTGTTTGCCGAACTGAATTTTACTAGTTTTACATGAGAAGGAGGTAGTAGGAAGCTACCTCCAAGGGAGAGAAACTGTGGAATCAGACACTCTTCGTTTTAAATCTCAGTTGATCCTCAAGAAATTAAGAAATTTATCCTTTCAGTTATAGCCACCATTATTGTGGGATTAGTGATCATTCCTCTGTGGGGTTCTAAAAGAAGTTTAGCATTAACGCATGAGCTGTGCTTATGTCTATTATAAGCCTTGTCATAGAGTAACACACAGAATATGCAGTATTTTTACTGAACTTTACATTGTTTATGGGATTAAATGTGGAAATAGCTAACATATTTCAACTGTTTGCAAATCAAGTATAAATGCCTCATAGCTGGTGACTCTGGCAGCAATAATTTTCAGAATGAAAGCGGCTTGATAGCACTAGCTCCTCCATATTTTTGGATGCTTTTACCTGCGAGTCATTAGAAGGAAGCAAGTGACCTTATTAATGACCTGTGTTGTAGGCTGCACGGGACTGAATGTCCACTGTTCCCATTGAGAATGTGCGGAATTAAACACGATGAAACAAATAACAACTGAGTTAAACCAGAACTCATTGTTTTATTAAAGAGAATTGTTTCTTTTAAAGAAAAATTACCTACCTTCTTAAAGGATTTCCTATTGGTTTTATTTATGGATTTATAGATTGAACTGTGTTTCAAAAGAAAGCAACATTTAATACCTACTGTGGGAGTACTATGAAGGCACAAAAATAAAAATTTAAAGGTGAAAATCAGAGATGAAATTTAATTATAGGTTAGCTCATAATTACTCAAAATGATTATCTTCCTAGCTGTCAAAGTGATTATAAATGTACTTCCTTTTTTTTCTAATTAACCTCTGTCTTGCATAAATAGAACTTTCTCTCTGATCCTCACTTATTTATTGCCATACTATGACCTTAATGATTAAATTTCTAGTATAAAATAGTTTGGGAAGCAAGAAGCACCAAACTTTCACACCTATTGGAAACAACTGAAAAAACACTTATGAAAAATGATTGAAATAGAATTTTTATGTTATTGAAAGTAGAATTTGGGGCTGACTGCTCTCTCCTTAGCTGCTGACTCATGTTCAGGTTAGATGAGACTTCTACCTGAGGAAAGGGATGCTTACATTCATGAGTTTTATAGATAATTCCTGATGACAAGCTAGAGAATGTGAGTCCAAATCATATTCTTCCCTCCCAGAACAGTGGTTGGTACAAACCGGGTTTTCTAATTCCCAATGGGCAAAAATAAAGGTTTAAAATAATGGGCCATAAGCAATTTAGACTTTGTGCGTCTTCTAAACAGCAGGTTGCATTTTGCCTAGAGAAACGCTAAGGTGGTTTACTCTACCACACACAGTCCTCAGAGTACCTCAGGAGGAGCTGTTGCTGCTGCTAACAGCATTTTTCATGATGAAAAAAAGGAAAGGGAAGGATCAGACATTTACTGGCCACTTTAGTTAGATGGCCTCATTTAATTCTTATGATTGTGCTATTTACCATTCAATTTAGATGTCATAGTTTGGGGGACAAAAATTCCACCCAAAGGATCAGATTTTCAGAAGTGAGGTTGTTGGAAGGTGGAATGCTAACCTCACCAATGGATCCATCCGTGGCTGAGTTCATAGTTGAATGGGTGGTTGGGAGGTCAGGCCTGGTTGGAGGAAGTAGGTGGGGGGGTGTCTTTGGGGTCTGTCATGTCCATGGACCCTTCTTTCTGGCTCTTTCACCCTGTCTGCTTTCTGGCTGCCACGATTAAGCTACTTCCTTCTCCCGTGCCCCTCTGCCATGCTGTTTGTGCCTTGAAGCCAGCTAAGCACGAGCTGAAACTCAAACTACGAGCCACAATAGACCTTTTCTCCCCTAACTTTTACGTCAGGTGTATCATCCCAACAGTGAAAAACTGCCTAACACAAAGGGAAATATCTTCCATGCTGCAGATAACAAAACTGAATCCTAAAGAACACCGTCAACATGCTGGAGGTCACAAAGCCATCTCGTGAAAGAGCAGGAATTCAATCTAAAATTTATTCCAAAATTTCTGTTCCTTCTGTGGGTCACAATAGTACTCCTTACTCAAGGGAGGCATCACACTAAACACATTCTTCTAAGGTTTCAAAAGCCTAATTTCTAATTAATTCAACTGGATATATGAATGCATGAAAGCCAATTGAGGTTTAATCTAAGACAATTATCATATCTGAATGTCTCTATGAGATTTATGGGGTAACACGCCTTTTTCTCTATCTTTTTGAATAGGCTGAAATAGTTCATTACAATTCACCACTATATAAAACTGGTATATCATAATAATTTGCAACAGGGTGTGCATTAACAGCTATTTGTTTCAGGTACTAAGTTGAGTGTTTTGTAAATAAGATTTAATGACCTCACATTACCTTGTCTTTTATAAGGTAGTACTTAACTTACTTTAGTGACAAGGGAGCTAAGGCAGAGACAGTGAGTTATTAAGTGATGCAGAATAATTTCAAAATGCTGTCCCCTAAGACCAGGCTTTTTCTACTCTCCTGAACAGTGTGGTATGAGAAGACATTTACAAGAAAAGAATTTCCTTATAGTTTGTGGAATGGAGTCAGAGTGCCACATGTTTTTGTAGATTGATCAGAGAAAAACTGAGTCATTGCAAGTGTGGGAGACTGCTCCTAGGCATAGTTAGTGTACTACAAGTTTCAGAAATAGATCTCCAGTCCTCTCTCTCTCTCTCTCTCTCTCTCTCTCTCTCTCTCTCTCTCTCTCTCTCTCTCTCTTACTGAGACTGTTAGAACAAGATGCCAAGAACTCACAAATGCAAGAGCTGTCTGGCCAAGGCCAGGAAATGATTTCACACTTAAAGAGACAGTTGGAAGTAGCCTGGCAGTACTCCACAAAGCACTGGATCTTTAGCAAATGGACTGAGTTTCAGTACATCACTGTCACCGTGGTGCAGGGCTACAGGTTAATCAAGAGACAAAAGGAGAGAGGAGGAGGCCAGAAATGGTTCCAGCATCTGTACGAGCATCGTCCCCTCTGCACTTCTGCTTTCAGGCTTAAGGGTGACCCTTATCATTAGCAAACAAGGACAATGGCATCTTCACTGTCTTTTCCTGGCAACAGTTCCCAGAACATCTTGCAGGTGACAAGATGCATTAGTCACCTGACAGTGCTGGGCTGCTACTGGAGTGCTCCATAAATGTCATGTTGATAAGGCCATCCTAAAATAGCAGGGCATCAACCCCGACACTAAATGAAGTCACCTAGTCTGCATACCAAATCTGAAGGAAGAGAAAGGACTAAAGAGTTCTACCTAAATGAATATTCCTGTGATGTGCTTTTTTGGTTCAAAGAACCAGCACATTTATATGTACGGAGATTGATATTCACCTTCAACTACATTTTCATCTACTAAAAAGGTTTGTTAAAATAAATTTCACCAAACTGTCAAGCTGCGAGTATAGCTTAGGTTTGGTAAAATAGTCAACACATCTGTGAATTTGTTTGTCTTCCCTTTTACCATCTATTGTAAAAATTGTCTTAATTCTCCTTAGTTTAAATGCATTTGTCTGCTCTAGACAAGACTAAAAGCCTACCACCAGACTATTTTCTTAACCACCAAACTCATGGGTGCAGAAAGAGCCCACTGATACATTTTTGCAAAAGAATGAATAAAATCAGAAACCCGTTTCCATGCCAATCCCGCTGAAGCAGGGGAAGGCACATTTATATTTGATAAGTTCCTTCTGAAATGGTTATGTGATCTACACTAATGACTTCAACACTCTTGGAACTGGTCCAGGCTGGACCAGATTCTCAAGTCTTTCAGTGAAGATGGAATGGCTAATGACATCCCACAACAAGTCTTCATTATAAATCTGAGTATAAAATCACAATGTGGATTTGAATTTCTTTATTTACTTCCAAGTATGACTAACCTCATCTCTGCAATGTCACCTTCAGACCAGAGGTTCTGAAGCTAAAATAGCAGATTTTTATTTGGCTGCCTTTACACTTGCTCCAAATGATACCAATATATATATTTGAGAAGAAACACATTTTAAAATGATGAAATTCTTGTTCTCTCCCCATGTGAAATGGCATATGTTTTCTCATCTCACTTTATAACTATGCAGATATTTTATTATACAAATGTAGGCATTGGCTTTCCATTTCATCTCTTTCCAAAGAAACTTAATCAAGTTCAGATTCCACTGTACAGTGACATTGAAATGTATCATTTTTTAGATAACTTTTTCAAAACGGTAGAATTCCAGAGAATGGAAATGCCAAAAAGTTGAAGTAAGAATCACCTTGCCATCTTGAGTACAGGACAAAGACTTTAGAAGGTGAAAAGCAAGCAGATCTAAGCAGGAAGACACTAAAGCAGCTCCTCAGGTGTGACAGCCTTTGCAGTTGTCAGCAGGCCCTTTGTTTTCACATTAATACACCATGCAAATCAAAGGAGGTGAAAGAAACAGGTTTAAGCTCCGGCTGTGACAATGAAGCCTTATTAAACCCCAAAAGCTGTAAAGAATTTTTGAGTACGCATGTGCACATGCAGGGACCTTAGAAACAGATAAAGGAGCTTAGATGTACTAGTTCTAATAGCTTTCTAAAACAGATTATTTTGTCATTTTGTCATAGGCTGCATATTTCTATGGCCTTGTGGTTAAATTCCAAAAAATCCTTAAACTCCCAGCTTGGATCCCAGCCATTAGTTATATCAACTGCCAGCTGTACACGAGTGAACCACCCTGGACACAGGACCAGCTCTGGCCATAGCTTAGAGCTGAAGAGGCCCCAGTCACAAGAGAGGCCTCAGATAAGAGCCTTCTAGTTGGGATTCTTCTAACCATAAACCCTGAGAGATGGTAACAAATTAGATATTTTTTCCTGGTACCACGGATTGAGCTCAGGAGTGCTCTACTGCTAACATACATCCCCAGCCAGTTTTCAAATTTTGTTTTAGTTTTACTTTGAGACAGGGTCTTGACAAGTGGGACCTGAACTTTCAGTCCTACTGCCTCAGCCTCTCTAAGTGTTGGGATTACAAGCATGCACCATCACTCTTGTATTATTTTTTCTTTTTTCTTAAATAATAGATGAATTGGAACTGTGGGTAGAAGTGAGATCTTAGTCTAGGGCATTGAAGGATCTGCACAATTTAGGAGATTAAGAAAAATGAGGAAGCCGGGCATGGTGGGGCAGGCCTGTAATCCCAGCATTTGGGAGGCTGAGGCAGGAGGATCATTGTGAATTCAAGGTCAGCCTGGGCTACGAAGTGAGCTCAAGGCCAGCCTGAACTGCAAAGTGAGATCCTGTCTCGCAAAGACTAAAGAAGAAAGAAAGAAAAAAATGCAGAATAGACAATTTCTTTCATTACCACATGAGACACTGATGGAGATCCTAGGAAACTGGTGCTGTGTATACTACATACAGTTGGTTTCTTCGTGGATATGACATGCAGACAATAACTTTTTGGTATATGCTAACCTCAGAGAATCATATACCTGTTACATGTTTTCCAGCTCTTTAGGGCTCTACACTGAGGGACCAGGGGATTTGCTTGGTTAGGTACACAGGTTAGTACACGGTCTCTGCTGCAGAATGCTGAGGTACTGAGGATCTCAGGACCCCAAAGGGTTCAAGTTACATAGAAAAAATTGCCAGTGACCTGTTGCCAAAAAAAAAATGCACTGGCTTTTGAAATCTAAAAACTCAAGAAATGCGATTTACAGGGCTCGGTAAAGATCCCATTTACAGACATTTCATCACGTTGCCTCACACAGCCCAGCATGGCACACGAGGAATTAAGAAGACACTAAGATCTGAGGATCGCACACAGCCCCCACCCCTTTGGGCGGACCTCAGTTTCCCACTTTCAGAAGGAAAGGCGACTCCTTCCTTTTCATCTTCTGAGAATCATCCTGAGCTCTAAGACAAGAAGAATTGATTCAATCAGATGCAAAGAAGAAGAAAACGCATTTGGAAAAATTCGCATGAATAATTTCCCCAAATCCCATTAGGACTCAACTGTGATTCACAGTGCAAGCCAGAGAGAAAGCTCCTGAGATTAGGCCTGTAGGAAATAGTAGGTGAGGGAAGAGCACTGCAACTTTCCTTTTGAAGACTTTTTCTCCGGGTAACCCTTCTCCCTCCAGTGGATTCCCATAAGAGATAGAATTTACATGTAAATCATTCTGCAGTTTGTTTTGGAAAATAATATACTTTCATTTACCTCTTGTTATGGTTGAGATTTGGGGTGTCCCTCCAAAGCCTCATGTGTTTGGAAAGTAAATGGACTGTGGAGTGTTGTACTCATCAGTATATTCTTCCAACAAGGGGTACAGTAGCTAAGTATGCTGTCAGGGTGTGGAGGTGGCTGGAGGTGGGGGCCCCTGTGTGTACCCGGACAAGGACATCTTCCTCCGTGGCTCCTCCCTTCCCTCTCTGCTTCCTGGCTGCCATGATGTGAGCAACTTTGCCCCAAGGCAGGCCCGTCCACCATGCCATTTCAGTATCTGATCCTGCCCACCACAGTCTGAGACTTGAACCAAGACAAAGCTCTTGTCCTTTCCGTTATATGTGTTGGGTATTATGTCCCAGTGATGAGAAGGTGACTAAGATTGCTGTACATATTTTTCCCCATTAAGTTACTATATTTTTTGAGAAAATACATATGATAAATAACCTTCAAAATCCATAGCATCATTACTTATACTATTTCTATGGACGTTAAAGAGACAATGGGAGCATAGAAGAATAGAATTTGACGTTTCCATACTAATAAACTTCAGTCGCAAAGGCTTTCTTACCATGATACCCGTGTGGAGCATGATGTAATGCACAGTTTGGGTGACATCAGCTGCGTGAATCAAATTGTGGTATGGATTTTTGTACTTGCTGTAACCAACTTCTAAAGCTTCTGCAAAGGCAATTAGGCAAGAAACAGGAATCTGTGGAAAATAATAATTATGATTATATTTTGGCCAAAAGACTGTCACAGCAACATGATTATGGCATGTGGCGTGGAGCACATTATATAGTCAGATGTGAGCAGTAGTTTCTCCAAGTTGAATGCAGATTGTTCTGAACAACCATGTCACTGGTGTGTTAGCTTTCGATCCTGAGAAGTAGTGCAATCCCCAATTATTGAACTCAGACAGATGAACTAAATACTTTACATTTGTATATCCTCAAGAGTCAGGTAAGAGGGCTTGTCTTAAAAGGGTAAAAATTTCCAATTGCAATTGGTGGAGTCCAGTTTTCCTGTCTGTAATAAAAAGGAGTTAAAATGGACATTCTCCCAGTCCTTTCTAGGTCCAATAATACCACGATTCTACAGGAAATGATGCAAGTTCAGGTTGCAGACTCCTCAAAAGTCTGGGTCAAATCCATTGCTTAGATGGTTCCAAATGAAGTTAATTAGGAGCCCTGTAATTTCAGTTTAAGTAAACCTTCCAATATAGGTTCTTTCTATTTTTTAAGAAGAATGGAGACCTACTGTATTACTTTCATCATTGCTTCCAATCCCTACGGGAGTATTCTATGAATAATTCAGGCCATGTTGGTATTTTGCTATCTCCCGGCTCACCATCTTTAGGTGCATATATCCATATGTCAGTGTTTCACAGAATCGTTCTACCACACAGTGACCTCGGCCCCCTAGTTTTGTGACCTGCTAACTAGAAACACACTAAAATGTATTGATTAATGCTCCATGTTCTGCATTTTCATTCTTATTCAAATAAACATTTCTAAGAGCATTTCATGTTCGTTCCACATTTCTGACCTTGAAGCGGTTCATAAGATCATATCTGGTAAACAGTTCATAAATCATAAACTTCAGACTATGTTCTCCGCTTGCTTCATTTAGGGCAAATACATCAAAAGACCATTTATCAACATCCTGTAGAAAAAAAGCAAAGTAAACACATTAGGTGAAATATGATACAGCGCTGAAGCTTTTTATGGGAAATTATTTGAAACATTAGGTTTTGTACATTCTGCAGATCATAGTTCACTGAAGAATGTTAAGCTACATTTTACCGGAGTCTGCTATGACAGGGTCACGAACGTGAGGCCATCATGTTTAGTAAGCTCCAAGATCTTCCTTTTTCTATTGATGTTCATAAGCTGATGCAGTAAGTCTGACCACACTGCTGTTATCTTTACTCTCTCTCCAATTTCCTACCATAAATCATCTTCCCAGGATGGGCCCACATGAAGGTAGAGGTGGTGTCACTTGATATGGTGATATGGGTGATGTCATTTGAGGGATCAAAGGAAAATGACTCACAGAACCCATTGTAGGATGGCTTGGAATTTCAGCATGAGTTAGTACTTTTTGGCTTAAAGCTTTGATATGTTCTGTTTTTTTCTGTGATACAAATACTAGGCAGAGAGAGAATATATACCACTTTATTATCACTAGCTAGGTGGGTCACCTGGGGGTAGAAAAGGGAAATGAATCCTTCTCTTGACGAGGGAGGAGAAGTAGACCTGCAGGGAACAAGTACTCTGGGAAAGTATCCCTTACAGTGGCAGAGGGGATGGGGAGCAGGGGTAGCCAAACATTTCATAATTTTGCCTTTAAAAAAACCTTAGAAAGCATAGTATACAGATGTAAGATGGTCAGGAACTATCAGCAAAAAAAAAAGTCCCAGCACTTACATACAAGCAGCAGCTTTAATAATGAATAATATAAGCAGACAGCCTTAAAGTTAGACATTAATTTTGCACTTAAATGGGCCTGTTAGTATCTCCCTACACATACTGGGGATTAAATTCAGGTCCTTCACATTGAGCATGGTGCATCACCAGACTCTTAATTTTTTGAGACAAAGTATTGCTGAGTTGCTAAATTGCCCAGGCTGAACTCAAATTTGCAGTCCTCCTGCCTCAGCCTCCCAGAGTGCTGGGATCACAGGCCTGTGCCACCATGCCAAACTTCAGTTACCTTTTTACATTCTTATGAAAGCCAACTGTACTCGCTGTCACATGCTAAAACTCAGCCGAAATTCTTATGAAAAGTATTACAACCATTTCTCTTAAAAATACTTCCTTTGAAAAATAGCAATAGCAACCTCAAATGGTACTTTCAATCCCTTGGAACAAAACACCAATGAAATAGGTTTTGGGTTACTTGTAGACTTATGTAATTCCTTCCATTTGCCTCTAATTTGATCCCCAAACACTTGCTCAATGTCTTTGTAAATTAAAAATCTTTTCTAGAGGTTTTGTTTAAAGGATTTTGACCATGAGGAAAGTTCAGAGGAGGCCAACGATCTTTTATCAAATTCCAAAGCCAACAGGAAAGAGTGAGCATGAACTCTCTCAAGCCTGCTATGTATCCAGCTAGGGGCTTCCTACTGAGTTGGGGGTCAGCTTTCGTCTCTCGGGGATTTCATAAGCAGCAATGATTTACAAGTGTGAACTACTGCGGTGTGCAGCCTCTGTGCTGTTAGAATGAGCACAGGACAAGGGGTTTTCTCAGAAAAAAGTTATTTAACTAACATATTCTTCACTGGTAATATTTTCTCCTTCAAACTCTTAGTTCATGTGTGTTAATGAAATAGCATTTTAGAAAACTACATTTTTTGGTGAAAATGATTTTAGACTTTTGTTTTGTTTTGTTTTGCCATACTGGGGATTGAAGCCAGGGCTACATCCCAGCCACTTTTATTTTTTATTTGGAGACAGGGTCTTGTTAATTTTCCCAGGTTGGGCTTGAACTTGTAATCCTCCTGCCTCAGCCTCTTAGAGTGCTGGAGCTATAGGCAAGAGTCACCACATTTGGCTTTTAGTTGGTTTTTAAACAAAAGTTTTTAAAATGAATAGTATAAAAATAAGTAATTTTCTTGCATATAGTTGAGGAAATAATAGAGAAGGCAAAGTCTCTCAAGAATGGAGGAGTACTTAATATTTTCTAATGTGACATTTTGTTATATATTTGTTTTTATCATACTTTTAAAAATCCACAAAGAAGCATCCAAGAAGATAAATACTTTTTAAGTTAATGATTTAAATTTAAATGTAGCCAGGCGTGGTGGTGCATGCCTGCAATCCCAGCACTTAAGAGGCTGAGGCAGGAGGATTCTTGCAAGTTCGAGGCCAGCCTGGGCTACAAAGTGATTTCAAGGTCAACCTGAACTGCATAGCGAGACTGTGTCTCAAAAAGACAAACAAAACAAAACAAAACAAAACAATTGAACTGTAATATTCCACAGAGAAAAGCCATATGTAAAGAGCATGTTTAAAAGGAAATTAAAACACACAAGTAAGCAATGAACATTTGAAACAGAAAAATAACAATAGGAAATAAAGCAGACTAAGATTGTGTATTTGTTACTTGCATTCATTAAATTCTTGGATAATATAGGACAAACAATGCAGGGTTACCTCAGGAGAGAAAGTTGAAGTCCCCCAACCAAGTTAAGAGACCAAAAGAAACAAGACATTTAGGGGGTGAGCCTACAAATTACTTCTGCAGGAATAACAGTGGGACAAATGTGCACACATCCGTACTCAGAAAATGAAGACAAGAGAGCCCAGAATTTCCCAATTTCAGAGCACTGATTCCAATCATTTCTCAAACATGTAGTTCAGCAACTGCACACCAGGTTTGAGCAGTGCCAGGAGAAGTCAGAGATAAGAGGGACAAATTTTCTTCTCCATAATTTTATATTTATTATTTTCTCATATTTCAGTATTTAAATAATTTTCTTACATAGAAACTTTGTCATTTAAACATAACTCACTAAAACATCTTTTTTCAATGCATTTAACTCTTTGCTATTACTAGTATATACATAACAAAGTACTCTGTCTGTTCTGATATGTACTGGTGCCACCTCAAAATAAAAGTCAAGATTCACTTAAAGCATGAAGAAAAAAATCACACAGGTATGCACACACACACGCAAACGTGCATATATATTCACTGATAGAGTTTGTTAGTATCAGTCCATCCTCGTGTAATTCTACAGAGTGTGGAACAACTTGTAGGAGATGTGATCAACATCTGTGGTGAAAGTTTAAATTTAAAAAAATTGTTACAGTAAAAGACACATTGCCACAAATTCCCATCAAAACATACCACTTGCTTCAGACAAACTCATCTCCAGTCATTCTTGTCACCTCTGACGCAGTTCTAGAAGTCCTCCTTTGTGAGTGTTTCATTGTGAGGTGTGATAAAAAAGACAGGGAATGCCGCTGTCCAGTGCTATCCCATGGGAAGAAAGGCTGGCGGAATCACATGATAGTGTGTCCTCACCCACCTCATTCACCAGAGCTGCCCTCATGCTACTTCTTGCTGTTCCTCAAAATCAAAATGACCACAAAAGGGAAACACTTGAAACTGATTCAGAACATCAAAGCAACCAGAATATTGCACTCACAAAAGCAGACTACCAGAACTTTTCAGAAAGTGGCAAGAATTGTTATAGATGACTGAAAGTAGAAACTGATATTCGATCAGGGAGGGGTCAGGTCCTAGAGGAAGTCAGCCCAGAAGATGAGATGCACAAAATCTGTGGCTGGATGCGAATCTGAAGAGAAAGCTCAAGGTAAAGATGCAATAGCCAGGCCTAGAAGCCTCCCCAGAGATAAACAGCAACTTGAGATTGTGCTGTAATTAGCGCCATCTTGTCCAGTGATCTTAAGTAGGCATCAGACACACAGATGGGTGACAAGAACATCCCTTTCCAACAGTGCGTTTGTTCTTTCCATGTACCCCTGCTATGTGACTTGCTTCCTTTGGATCAATATTAGTAAGCAATTATTCTTGTTATCCTATAGGGTGACTGCAGTTTGACTCCTACTGTACCCAAGTTGTGATCTTGCTGTATAAATTACCCTTGACAAACAGCCTCTGTCATCACCCACTCCTGGAAATCCAGTAGCTCTTCTTTTCTTTATTTTCAATAAAACCCTCCTAACTTCCTCCTTTGGTTCAAACTTATTCCCTAAGGTTGTGACACCACAGTGTCAGCACATCTGTCCTCTAAGAGTTGGGGAATTACTTTCCTCAACCAAATGAGGGGATAAGCATGTCTGAAGTGAGTAAGCGTGTGTTGAGGGGAGTCAGTATGTCTTCTATTGTAATGCATCTAAAAAAAAAACTAAATAGTAGCTGTAATTTCCAATCACACTTTGTATTTTGTAAATGGTTAAGATAATTTTTACATTCTAACATATAGGCTGCAGCAAAGAACTACTCGCATTTTTCCCCCAGTTACTTTCAGAAGATATTTAAAAACAAATTTTATAAATGAAAACAATTGAAATTATTTCACCTTTAATGTGACTATGACAGCTGCTGGATATGCCAAACCAACCATGTGATAGCTTTTTCTGTACATCCTAAAATAAAAAAAATAGAATGAAGTGTAAACATAAAACTCATTTGCTCAAGGTTTTCAGCTATTTCTTAAATATAAGGGTAAAGATTATTCTTGACTGGTTTACTTTTTATCATTCCTTTTACGGCAGCAATGATAGCTACAACCAGCATTTATCTGTCTACAAAGCGACAGATGTTAATAGTATTCTGTGTACTTGCAACCACCTTATAAAGTTAATTTGATTTCAGTTTCCAGGTAAGGATATCTTCTAATTTCCTCTAATTAAAAGAGGGATTGTGTTTCCTCACATGCCACCATAGCCTTCACAGCAGGATATTCTTTTATGTCTGTTTATTTGACAAAATTTTAAACTGGAAGTTGAATGTCATGAAAATATTCTATGGATTTTCATTTCTACTTTTGGCAAAATGAAAATTATAGGGGGTATATGTAGCATCATCAGTACTTATACAACTTCTTTATTACTGTTAAAATAGTGGAAGAGATTATACTGACAAAAATTAAGTTTATTCAAATTGTCATCCAGTATTATTTAAGGAAGATTGTTTGGAAAGTAAACACAATTTTCTCTATTTCCAAATCAATCAATAACAAAAATATTTTTAATCTGTAATTTGCTAATGGCTTGATTTTTTCATTTTCTGATGGGAAACCAAAGAAACGCAAACCAAACATAAGAGGCCCTCCGTGCATTCTCATGAGCACAAAACCCAAAGCTGCCTGAATGTGCAGGAATAAGTGGCTTGTATTTGGAACCATGAAGGACTCCTTCACACAGGCCTGGGAGGAAATAGCTCAACTGAGTCTCAGTCATGAATCTTAATTTTATATCAAGCTACTGTACAAAAAATTGTATTCCTAGATGATAGAGCTATAATTGCTTCCCCCCAAAAGTCTGGATGATGCCATAATTTAATTAAGTATAATCATAAGTATGGTCAATACAAGAAAGTCATGTGGCAAATATTTTGCATCTTTTATAAAATCACTGTGGAAGACATTAGTCTTTTTTGAATCAGTGGACCCTTTATTAAAAATCCATGAGACATATACTCAAATTCTATGCAAATTTTTAAAAAGACAATAAGAGTCATGTAACCTATCATGTTTTCTTTGTAAATCTTGCACTCTTGGAAGCTCAAGATTACAATATTGTGTTTACCTGTATCTCTAGCTTCACTTACGTATCTTCCCAAAGACTTTGTTACTTTAGCTTGCCTGCTTCAGTTTTATGTTAATTTTAAATTACCGTAATCATTTTTGGAAGCAAGTGACCCAGCATAACAAAAACTTATCTTTTATCTTCATGAGAAGATTTCAAGAGTAGTTTATAAATAAAAACGCATTCATTACTCCATTGAGATATGTATAATTATTCTAATCCTGCTGAGAACAAAAGTAGAAATCATTCCATGAAGGGTGGGGAAAATGATGACTGTCAATATGGACACTTGGCTGTGGAATTTATGGGAAACAAATAGTCTTTTCTGCTTATTTTTCTAGTCAATATTGCTAACAAATGGCGATGTGGGGGATTTGAAAGAGTAAAGAAGAAGGAAAAGCCCAATATAAAAGCCAACAAAAGAATTTTTAAAGCACTAAGTATTATTAAATCAGTTTGACTTCCTGGCACAGAAGGGGCTGTGAGGCAGTGAAGAGAATATAAACTTTGAATCAGATACATGCTGCGTGACCTTTGGGACACTATTTAATGTCATCTGTTCGTAAAATGAGAATTAGCAGCTTTTTGTGAGCAGCAAAGGATATACATGCCTGGCATAAACAAACAAACAAACAAAATGCTATTATGCCTTTCACTGCGGCTTTCTCATTGCTCTGTAGCCAGTTTCCTTAGTTGCACTTTTTTTAGGGTTTCCAGGGGAAGCCATTAGTGAGTCTCTCAGTCTGGGAGTAGGTTGATAAATGATGAATCTCTGTACTTATCTGTACACAGAATTTGTATCTTATATAGAACACACAGACAAAAGAGATTGCCGTATTAGAGAGAGAAACTTCCCTATTAACACACATTTTTTTTGTGTGTACTTGGAATCAAACTCAGGACCTTGTACTTGCCAGGCAGGCGCTGTGCCACTGAGCTATATTCCAGCGCCGTCTACCATACTTTGCTAATCCTATAATCAGGAATAGAATTCTAGGACAAGAAATTAGAAATAGAAAATTAGATGGAAATGAAGGTGATTTCCCTGGAAATGGAAGTATGGGAGAAGCCTTTAATCTGGTTGGCCATTTACTTCCATAAATAGGTGATATATGAAAAATGTTTCTGAGAAATAGTAATGAATTTCTTAGGAACCTACAAGTAAGTAGTGAAGTCTAACTGAAAATATGGTGGATTATTTTTGAAAATGTTCACTGAAATTACAAAATATAATTTAAAAAATTAGGAAAACCTTATATCAGGCACTGTGCTAGGCAACAGATTTTCCAATGGAGAGCAAGAAAAATATACTTACTGACTCCAGGCAATTTATTTTAATGTGAAGAAAGGAAATGTGATTCCAAGGAGTGATATTTCAGAGGTGAATTACTAGTTGGAGAGGTGATTGGAACATAGAGTGATTAAGAAAGCCTCTGGAATGATAGAAAGGACCTGCCAATGCTGACGATGGGAAGACTCATTTTTGACAGAAAGAGCGGAAAGATTCATGGATCCAAGACAGGAAAAAGTTTAGAAGTGTTCATAGAATTGCAAGAAGGCTGGTACTGATGTTTGGCAACGGTTGCTAGAAAGTCAGAGGGACCTGGTGAGGCAAGGCTTGGTCACTAAGTGAAATAGAAATCCATCAAATGGTTTTAGTTTTCAGGGCGACAGGATCCAATTTGTCATTTTACAAGATTGTTGTGAATGGTGTGTAGAGAGAACTGAGGAAAAGGTGACCCAGAGGGGAAGTTACTGTCACACCTCTCTGGCAGATAATGCAGGCCTAGATTAGGCGGCCCGGAGGAAGTAGTAATTTCAGGTCATATTCAGCTTACCTGACAGGACTCACTGAAGTACTGATTCTTGAGAACGGAAGTGTCAGGAGAGGAAGCAACAAAGCTTCCTGAAGACTTTTAATTTTCAGGATTGGTGATAATTATTTTTGCAAATTCAAAGTAAGCATGTCACTAATGGAGATTCAATAGTGATAAAATAAGGATATAGATTTTAAGATTGCTTACTAACTTAGCTACCTTAATTATATTTTTATATTCCTATAGCATATTAAATAAAATTTGTTTTGGGTAATACATTAAAAAATGGAAACTTGGCACGTCAATACATTTTATCAAGTTCTTCTTAACTTCGTCTTGAGCAGAAATGCAAATTCACTTGGTTTTGACACAGTTTGTATTTCTCTTTGGTTTGCCTAGTAAATGAAGGAGACAAAATATATATTCCTCCAGCAAATCAAACATGCTCTTTTATTTGTGATTCTCTCACTGACTTTTTGAAATTCTTTCTACATATTTTTAATTTGGTGCTTTGGGAAATAACTTTAACATTTGCCTATGTTGTTTTAAAGCATAGGAATACAGTTAGAGACGTTCTTTCTCCGCAGCCCTGCCTCCTGGCCTCAGACATCTGTTCCCCGTGGCAGAACTGGAGGAAGTGTATGCACCAAGAGGTGGTGTCAGATCACAAACTGATCACACTATTTCCAGAGATCTTTTATCTAAGCCAGTTAAACATGGCTAAGCAATTTGAAAAGTAATTTGTATAATCACTCAGAAGATGCTATTCTCGATGATACAGCCATGATACAAGATATTAGAAGCTTCAAGTGCTGTGGTTATAATTTACCTTTAAATTGCATAGTATTCTTCATATAATGTACCCTCATTTACATTTTTAAAACCTGTGTCCAGCCAATTGTTCCTTTAAGAGAGTAAGTCAAGGTTTGTAAAGTTTATTGGAAACGATGGCCACAAAGATGGAAGGAAAAACACCGTAGTCTTTAAATACGAGGCATATTCCCCCCCCAAAAGTCTTTGTTTCTCAATTTCCTTAGTTTTTAAAATTTTTAAATAATTTTTAAATACATAGCCATATTTTCAATTTATGGGGTTTTGGTAACTACTTTTCAATTTTGTCAGGCATATTTATTTTGGATATTATTTGCGGTTTTAGTTCTGAAACATTTTGTTTCCTAGAAAGAAAAATAAACTGTGCTCTTAAAAGTTAAAAGAATGCAAAGTTGGCTCCTAGTAACACATGTTTCACGTTGGAAACTCGTGGTTTGGTTTCATGGTCTACGGGTCATTGCATACCTCTTATTCCAAAGGCAGAAATGTAAAACAAAAAAAAGTATTCTCAAAGGTGAAAATGAGAGAGTTCCTCTCATAAAAATAGATGTTAGGTCAGAAAAGGCCTGCTTGACTTGAACATGTAGACTGTTACCCCCTGTAGAATTTATTTTATCAGTGTTACATTTTCTTTAGGTAAAATTAGTTGTTGAATGTATTAGAACTGTTTTTAAAGTTATTCACAGCCATTCATTTCAGAACTGTCATTCAAAAAGTGCTTTTGCTTCAGTCTTCCTGTCAGTTTAATATAAATAAAATAATATACCCTGGATAAGGTACTTTTTGTTATAGTTAAATTCATCATAAAGCTCTAAATCTGTTCGTTCCAGTTGTACTTATGATTGAAGTTTTCCTCCAAGAGTGAAATAGAGGGCTTTCGTAACTTTGATATTATGAATGTATTTTCTGCCTTCTAGATTTTGTTGTGTTGAGATACCTACACATTTACCTACCTTTCCACAAAAATTCCAGCTTGGACAGCGTGCACTATGCTTCGGAATTTAGGTTTTTCCTCTGTTTTCTTTTTCGTCATCCCCATTTTGCGTGTAAAGGTAGAAGCCAACCAGTCCCGGACTTCTGATGGGACCGAATCAGTCTGAATGTCACTGAGCTCATCTTCGGTATCCAGCAGTCTTCTGCAGAAATTCATACAGAAGAAGCATTAGAGAAAAGTGAAGAAAAACTGGCATCAAAAGAATAAGCATCACAGTGGGATTTTCAAAACAGCAAATCACCCTCTTATTACCCCTTAATGTGAATAATTTAAAGAAAGAAAAAATACTGGGTTAACATTTAGAAAGCTCTTATTTTCTCAACTTGATCATTTTCTGCAGGCAAAGAATTAATAGACAAACACATGCACCTTCCCCCAAACTGAAGTACAATGCCAATAACTGATTAACATCAGTGGTACACCCACTCTAATAACAGAACCTAGGAAAGTTAAGAAAGAGAATTCATAAACAGATAGATGTCTGCTACTAAAGAAATTGGAGTAGAAGGAAAAGGGGGATTAAAGTCTGAAAACTGTCTTATATTTAACAATTATATATATAACAGGCCCACACACGATAGAGTACATGCTTTTTGAAGAAGGTTTTGGGTTTCCAAAAGTCACTCACAAGTGCTATTTCACAGAATAAGCAATTAAAAAAAAATAACCACATCTAACATATTCTTTCTGGTATCAACCTCTTAGATTATAAAAAGTGGAAAGAATGATGAAAGCAAAGAACAGTAAATGAATTATAGGTGTTCCTCGGTATCCATGGGAAACTGATCCCGAGACATCGCCTGACCCCAAGGTACTCAAATGGCCTGCTCAAGGACACGTGTAAATGGTGGCCTTGCATGTAACCTATGCACATCCTCCCATATCCTTTCATCTCTACATCATTTCATCTCTACATCATTTATAGTGCTGAATGCGATATACATGTCATGTAAATAGCCGTTGTGCTGCATTGTTTAGGGAACAATGGCAAACAAAATAGCTGGTACAGCTCTGGGGTTTTTTTCCTGACTATTTTTGATGTGTGTGTTCGAATCCCAGATGCAGAATTCACAGACACAGAGGGGCAAATGTATTTAAAACCTCCTCTTAGGAAACTGGGCCAGGAAGTGGAGGAAACTGCAGGTAAGAGGCAGTTCTCACTTCAGGGTGGAGGTTGGGTGGGGTTACAGCTACTGGCAAAGGAAATGAGGAGTGGGAAGGAGTGAACTGGACTTGACGCCACCGCCCCTCCATGTGAGCTCCAGGCAGGTGACCTTGATCAGCTTGCCCTGCAGAGGGAACAGAGAACACGTCCTTATTTCAAGGCCTGTCAGCTGCAGGAATTAAGAGCTCCCTACAGGTCTGAATGGGCGAGAACGTGTGAAAGATTCCCCTCCCAATACAAAAGCAGCTTTGCACCTCAGTGGAGCTGTGCTGTTGGGAAGAACACAAGGCAGCTCTGCTTGTCATCTGACTTGGTTATTTCCTGCTCACTGCCCCAGTTTAGTAACTCAGAGCTCTGCAGCACCCGTTAGCTTTGACCTTTGGGTTTTATTTGCTTTAGTAAATCCCTCTGAATGAGGCCTTCGGGTTGTGAGCTGACGCAGGGAAGGCAGCCAGAGATGGCAGAGTGTGCTAAGGCCTCAGGGGTTAGCTGCACACCATCTCAGGAGGCAGGGGTAAAACAAAAGGCAAAAAAGGACGAGGCCCACACAATGGACCAAACAGAAGCTCGAAAGGTAAGCTTCAGAAGAGTAAATCTTCGTGTCTTTTACCTGACCTCCCAGCTGTATGCACAAGATTGTTATTTACCAGTATTTGTCTTACATGGTATTCAATAAGCACAAACACTCCATAAAGAACAACACAATCTTGGGTGAAGGGATTACAAAACTACACATACACTTGTCAAGATTTCAAAAAGACGTATTTGGATATTAACCTTAATTAATACTCACTTTATATTGTTTTTAATTTGCTTTTTTTTCTTACGTTTGGATGATTTTGATTTTCCTCTAAAACGCCTACCATGTGCTTTAACACAAACCTTTTTGTTGGCCTTTTTGCCCATTTAAAACTAGATTCCTTAGCCCAGTTTAGCAAGATCTGTGCCACATGACTCACATATTTCATTACTTTCTTATGCCATTTCTCTTATCTGTTGTACAGAGATCAGATGGAAGCCCAGAACAGGTGGAATACGAATCACTATGGTATAATCCTGTGACGTCACCATGATCTGAACATTCTACTGCTGCTTTATTTCATCACCTGATCTGACTAGAATGAACTTATCTGAAATAGAACGCTAATGGTTGCTGATTTCTCCATGCATGGAAAATTTGGCATTAGTGGATTTAAGGTAGTGCATCCTAAACTCATAATGACCCAAGAGATCATCAAATGTGACAAAATCACGGTATGACAAAAACAGTCCTCCTATGAATCTATTATTCAGGAGTCTGGCAGTTCTTAGTTAATGAGGCATGGAATTATTTATTGAGAAGGAAACAACATAATTTCAGGTAAAAAAGTGATACAGATCAGTGATGGTATAGGAAAAAAGAAAGTAAGCATACACAGAGAAAAGAATGGAATATGCTATCATAGAAGTAAAAAAGCAAATCTTGAAAAGCAACACGTCTTCTGTAGTGGTTCATTTGATGTGTCAACATGAGCTACTGCAAAATCCAGCTCTTTGGTCAAGTATGAGTCTAGATGCTGCTGTGGAGATTTTTTTTTTTCAAATGTACTTCATACCTAAGTCAAAAGACTGAGTGAAGCAGAATAGCTTCCAGAATGGGGGTGGGCCTTATCCAATCAGTTGAAGGCCTTAAGCAAAAAGGGCAGTGGAAGCCCAAAGAGAAAGGAATTCTGCCTTCAGACTGTGATATTTACAGGACAAGTTCACACGTAGTTTCACTTCTCTGGTGTACATTGTTTGCTATTGGTTTCCCATCCCTTTTCCTTCACTCTTAGTATTTTTGCATGGATTCTGTTTTGCTTTTTTATTGCTCATGTTTAAATGAGGGTTTTTTCTTGCTGAATCAGAAGAATGAAGGGAAAGTCTGGGACAGTGTGTACCTTAAATCCACTAATGCCAAAGGACAGGAAGGAACCCGGTGTGATCCAGGATGTGTGCCAGTGTGTAAGAATTAGTTTAAATTTTCTGTCTTTCCACCCTGCAAAAATGGAAAGTTACAGGTCGGCACCTCAAAGATTCTTCTCTGCTCTGCAGCACAGTGTCAAATGGCCTTTGTGTATCTGTGACTGTTATCTGTGCATCTGTCTCTACTTCTCTAGTACCGAATGTGAAATGGGAATGCCTCCACAGTTAACTGATACACAGGGAGCTTTTTATTCTGGGCAACGACTTTCCGTGTTTCCTTTGAGAATCAGTGACCATCCCTAGAAAACTCTACTTTGTTCTCACTAGCTAAAAGCCACATCTTGGGCAGTCTGCCTTTAGAAGAAATAGTAACTTTTATTTTTTAGAGTAATTTTAGATATGTAGAAAAATTGAAAGGATGGTGCAGAGTTCTCTTTTTTTTTTTTTTGTCTTTTCTTCCGGTACCAGGAATCGAACTCAGGACCTTGCACTTGCCAGGCAGGCGCTTTTGCCGCTGAGCTAAATCCCCAGCCCCTTGTGCAGAGTTCTCATACAACTCATCTCTACTCCAGTTTCACAGCTTCCCTGAGTGCTGGTTACCTTGTGTTTCATAGCATATGTATTCCAATCACCAAGCCAGCATTAATACATGGTTATGAGTTAAAGTCAGTGCTCTGCATTCGGGCTCACTCTTTGTATTATATACTATAGGGGAGTTTTGGAGAATGTGTAATGGCATATGTCTACCATTACAGTACCAAATAGAAGCATTCTACTGTCCTGAAAACTTCCCCTCTGCTCCATGTATTCATCCCTCCTTCCTTTCCCCTCCAAGTCTGTAGCACTGACTGTTTTATTACTGTCTTCAGGGTTGTTTTTTCCAGACCCCCATACAGCTGCAATCATAAAGTCAAAGGGTTCCTCACTTCAGACTGACTTCTTTCATTTAGTAATAAGCATTTAAGGTTGCTCTAGATCTTTTCACAGCTTGAAGTTCATTCCTTTTTGTTGCTGAATAAAATTCTATTACCTGATGTTCTATAATTTTTAATGAATTCCAGTATGGAGGACATCTTTGTTGCTTTCACCTTCTGAGAATTATGAAGAAAGTTCTTACAAACATTTATGTGAGGGTTTTTCTTTTCATTTATTCAAGTAAGTACCAAGAAATACAATCACTGGATGGTGTGGTCAAAGCTTGTTCAGTTTGTAAAAATGAGCCAACTTGTCTTTCAAAGTGTCGTACCAGATTCCACTCCCACAGCAACCCACGAGAGGTAAACGAGAGCATCTTCTCCTGCCGGGCTGCCTGCATCCTCCTACCTGGGCTCCTAGCTCTTGTTCGTGACCACCTCTCTCTTCTTCCTTCTGCACTCTTTTGGTATATGTTAAACCAAGTCAATGCCTACTTCATCGAACTCTACATGATTTATCTCCAGCCCAGTCTCCCTCCTGATTTCTCAACCAATACCCTCTCCTTTTTTCATTCAGTACCCTGCCTTTCTTGCTTGTGTGGAGCTACCCAGCTTGCTTCTACTACAGGGTTTTTGCACCCACTCTTTTCTTCTTGGACTCTCTTACTCCAGAGATGGTGCAAGTCACTTCCTTACTGCATTCAGAGAGAAGGTGCCCTTGGCCACATTAGTAAGCACCTTCATTCTGCCTTTTTATCTTGCTACAGTCTTAGCATTTACCCCTACTCAGTGTCATACTTTATGTTTCCTGATTTGTGTGTTCATTCAGTGTCCACAGTCCAGTGGACTGGATTGGAAAGATCTTGCAAACAGAGAGTTGGTCTGTTTGTGTGTTATTGTATTGCCTGCATCTAAAATGGTGCCAGAAAAACAGTAGGAGGTCAATATATTTCATCCAATGATTATAAAATGTCTGGAAATATTGATACTAAACTATTAGATTTGATTACCCTTTCAGGAATAGTGATAGGATGGGAGTGGTAGAAGTTTTAATCTGCAGTTCTGTGTCCTTTGATTTATAAGAAGCGGAAACACATCGGGAGTAAATTTACTGTTGTC